GGGAGGCGCGCGCAGCTGTCATCGCCGCAGGTGACCGCGACGCCCGAGCTACCTTTCTGGGGCGCGCTGTCCGTGCCTGGAGCGGTCCTAGTTGCCTAGCCCGGAGGCCTGCAGGGTCGGAGGTGCGATGCAGGGGCCGAGAAAACCCTTGGTTGGGAGTGGGAGGTGGGGGTCAGGCAGAGTGTGGTGGGGCCCCAGGCTGTCCTTGGTCGTTTTCCTGAATCTTGGGAAATGCACCGATCCCAGGAGAATTTCTTCAGGGAAATATAAGGCGCCTGTCCCCGGGGAGGTTGGGGAGCAATCGGGAGCTGCTGATCTCCCTGGGCGCCCTCCTGGTCCCCGGATGCTGAAAAGAAGCAGCTTCCAGGAGAGGCAGCCAACTTCGGTGGCCTATTTATAGCAGCTGATGCTGGTGAGACAAGCCAGGAGGAAACTGTGGCCCACTCGGGACCTCAGGCACCCTGAGGTGCACCCAGTGCCCTCAGCCAGCAGCCCAGAGTGGCACCTGCCCTCTCCCAATGTCCAGCGAGAGAGAGCTGTTTCCAAGAAGGAAGGATGGCGCTGCCCTCTGCATCTGGGGCTCAGACAGGTCCCCCACCCCCCTGGAGGTGACCAGCGTCCTCCCTGTGGGGGCAGCCACCACTCCCAGGCCTCTGCATCCCTTAGCCCTGAAAATGCATCTCTCACCCAGTTACCATGCCTTAGGCACCCCTCCCCCACAGGATCCTGCACCGCAGTGTTCCCAAGATATCCCTCACCCTCCCCGCAGCATCTCCCCATCTCAGCTGAGTACACCCCTCAGGGAGCGAGTCTCCTCTGGTCAGACCCTGGAAATGGCTTTGATTGGCCCTGCTGGGGCCCAGAAAGGGCATGGGCTGTGGTCAGTAGTCCCTGAGATTTCAGGGAAGACACATACAGTGGCTGTTCCCACATCTCACTTCCCAATCAAGATTTAAGGTGCCTGGGTCCAAATCCTTCCTTAACTGAGCAACAACCTGCAGGAACTCGGCTGTGAGCTGTAATGTCCAGATGTCCAAATGCACAGCTTTCTTTGGGTAGGAAATAGAAGAAGTCTTTTCAAAAGAGATGACAAGGGTGCTTCAGGAAGCTCACCTCACCTTACCTCCCCTGCTGGGCTCCTGTGACCCACCTCCTCCGGGACCTGGCCAAGCAGGCTTCCCAGGCCACCTCTGGTGCCTGGTGGACCAGCGACTTCAGCTGCCACCCACACATCTGTCGGGATGGGGGTGTGTGATCTTGTTCACAGTCACGGCTGTGAGATGTACACTGGTGGGGAATGTCATTCTTCCATACTTGCTTGGCCACGGTGTCCGAGCGGTGTGACATGCTGCACTGTGAGTATGCCACTGACTCTTGGCTTTGGTTGTTCCCAAGTCCAGGGTGCTCTGGAGCATGTGGCCGTGCCTCAGTCCAGAATTGGGGTTGTTGGGCCCCGGGTAATGGTTGTCTTCAAATTTAGTGGACAGGGCCCAGCAGCTTTCCAGGGGGCTAAACATTTGCCTTTCCACCTTCCCTCTGCCATTACAATTTGAACCCTGGAAGGAGTGAGCTACCATCTGATATTGGGACTTTCTGCATCTTTCTGATTCTGCCTTCTAGGCACTTGGCCATCTCTTCTTGTTGAGTTGTCTGCCCTTGTCCTACCCATCCATGGAGGTACTCAATGTACTCTGGGCAGGCCAGCATTTGTCATAGCAGTGTCTCTTATATGGGAATTTGCCTTTTCATCCTCTTAACACTGTTTTCGTGGGCAGAAGTTCTCGATTTTGATCTGGGGACCTTCAGGGAGAGTGTGTTTCCTGTCTTGGGGGATGACCCCATTGCACATGCGTGCAGTTGACAGAGTCTCCTTGAAGGCCCCATGCTCCCGGGCCTTTCCTCACCTCTCTGTGTGTCCTTTTCCTGTACCCCATATTCTCTGCTTGGACACGAGCTGTCATAAAAGACAGATTGATGTCCTGTGGTGGCCTCCTGCTGAAAGCCCATCCTACTTGAGCTGACCCCAGGGCCCTGGGGAACTCCTAGCATTTCCCTGACTGTCCTCTGGCCCCCTGTGCCACATCTCCATGGGCTTGGCCTCTTCTGTGCCCCTGGTGAGGCTGCCCCCTCTCTGGGTCCCCAGGCTACATCTGAATCCAGGCCACTGACAGAGGGACACACACTGAGTGGCTCAACACAGCACAGCCCTTGTCCCTGGAGCCAGAAGGCTGGCTCTCAGAGTGAGCAGGACCCCTCCTGGTGGGCCTGGTGTGTCTGGCTTGTGGTCACATCACTCTGGTGTTCCTAGAACAGAACCCCTGAGGCTGGGGATTTAAGAGCAATGACGTAAAGAGCAGAAATGCCTTTCTCACAGAGCCAGAGGCTGGAATCTTGGAGCAGGGCCCTGCAAGTTGCTGTCTGCTGCGGGTGGCTCTCTTTCAGTTCACGCCCTGCTGCTCATATCTCAGGGATGTCCATCCACGAAGGAGGGGCTCAGCTGGACCCTGTGTGTGGGGCTGCAGGACAGCAGCCTTTGTGGGGCTCTGGTCCCCAAAGCAGGTGGACGTCCCGATGGGGCTGAGGAGGCCAAGGGGGCTGAGCCACCTCTCAGAGGACTCAGGAGCTCAGGCACATGGATGCCCACACCCACACCCACACCAGGGACACTTTGCCTGGGCAGGCCAGGCACATGGTCAGTTCTGGCCCCGGGACAGTGGCAGTGGATGACCAGTACCCCTACCACCCATTGTCAGCCCTGCCTGGCTCCCAGGTCTGGGGTTAGGAAGTGTGGACCTGTGACAAGCAGTGCTTGCTACACCTTGCCCCCCCACTGCTGGGCACAGGGACCAGCATGGGGTTTGGTTTCGTTCTTGGGTCACTCTGAAGGGCAGCAGCCTGGCCTTGGGGACCTGTCTGGACAGCAGCCTGAGCTGTCTCCCTGTTATGCGAGCCCGCTGTGGGAGCCAGGTCTGGGCATCTGGGACTTGCTCTGTGCCCAAGTGTAGAGGGCTATCATATTGATTATGCCCAAAGCAGGCTGTAAAGAGGGACACCGAGGGACGTGAAGGCAGAAAAGGCCGGCTTTGTACTAGGCTAGGACAAGTGGCACTCACATCGAGTGTCCAGGGTGGAGTGGGCAAGTGGCCATGTCATGATAAAATGAACAATGGCCGAAGGGCTGTGCTGTGCGTGAGTGGGCTTGAGCTGAAGAGCCGCTTCACTGGGGCGGTGCAGCCTGGTGTCCAGCTCCAAGCTGCCTCATCAGAGCCTGGGCTCAGGGCCTCACATGACCCAGAGTGGCCTCCCCACGCGTCCAGATGGGAGGGGAGGGCTCTAGGGACACTGTCCGATTCTTCTCCTTTGACGAACATTTCTCTCCCAGCCTCCAGGGTGCTGTGGTCTCCCCAGCTGCTGTCCCCTGGCATCCCCAGCCATGAAGGCCTTGGCTCCCAGGAGCCCAGCCAGGGGTCACCGGAGTCTCTGCTAGGCTGAGCATCCCTCGGGGGTCTGTCTTATCTGTGCCCGCCCTTCCCCTGACACCATCAGCGAGTGCCCTCCTACTTCCTTCCTCAGCTCAGTGTCTCGCAGCTCCAGCCATGATTGACTTACTGACTGCCTTTTGGAGCAGTGCCAACGCCAGATACCGGCTTCCTGGCCTCTGGCACAGGTGTGATATTTCCAGTTGTCCCTGCACAGCCCAAATGTGTAAGAACAGGGGTATAGGGACTCAAAGGGGCTGGGCCCCCTAGCCCTGTCCAGGGCTCTTCACTGCCCCAAAGCCTGTTGAGGAGCCCAAGGTAGACAGGTGAGGATGGCCTGGGCCTGCAGGGGTAGCGGGGAGGTCTTCCTGCTGGGTGGGCTCCCAAAAGCCCCCTGCTACCAATGTCCAGAGCCCTTCTCCCGAGGGTCCACCACCAAGGGTGGAGTCTTCACCCCCAGAAGCAGGCGGTGATGACAGGTACTCCTCCATCTGGTCCCACATGTGCCTCGAAGCCACAGTGCAGTCTCCGAATGTCTGGCCACAGTGCAGGGCCTGGCAGCGACTCCGGCACCTCAAGGAGGGACAGCCCTACCCTGGCTTCCCAGGTAGACAAATTCCAGCCTCCCTTGCTTAAGTAGGATGTTCCCAGGCATGGTGCTGGCTCTGGCCATGCAGACAGAGGCCTCTGGGTGCCCCTCAGAAGGTCTATGATCAGAGTCCCTATGTGCCTGCTGGTGTCCCCAACCTAGCCATTTCTCAAAGGATGTTTTGCCTTCACATTCCTGGTGGGCAGCAGGTACAGCCACAGAGCACTCTTCTCTGCCAGGGCAGTTGCTGGGTGATGAGCGAGGGGCTCGGGGTCAGCCGACAATGTGGGGGACAGGGATCTGACCAGAGGCCCCTGTTCATCATGGGCTCCTCCAGTGCAGGCCCCCGGGTGGATGGGAGCCCCCAGCTGGTTTGGTCCAGCATTGCCTGGGCATCCTCGGACACAGGGACAGGTTTTGGGGAGAGCAGGCCAGAGCCCTAGGATCCTGCAGCCCTGGAGGGGTGGCAGCTTACAGTGTTGCAGGGTCCCTTTGGGAGCTGTGGGGTGTAAGAGCCTACCTGGCCGAGGGTCCTTGGAGCCTCTCCTCCCTGGAGCGGCTGTAATTCCACCTGCCCTGGCCTCCCCTGGCCTCCTCTGCAGATGCAAATCTGGTAACCCAGCCTCTCTCACGCCCTGTGGATCAGTTACTGGTGCTGTCCTCTTTTCCCCAAGGGGAGGTGGCTGTGCTGAGCCTTTGAGTCCTGGCCTGGGCTGACGCTGGTGCTGTCCCCCTCCCCGTCACCACCTTGAGCATGGTGGCGGGGCTGGGTGGGAAGGCACTTGCCAGTAGGGGTTTGGTGGAGGCACATCCCTGCTGCACGTCCCTGAAGTCAGGCTGAAAGGAGAGGTGTTTAGGTGCAGTGCCACGGATACAGGACATACCCTTGGGGGCAAGGTGCACTCCTGGGGAGTGGGGCCTGCCTGCCTGGGGGAGTGGGCTGCAGGGTGGGGTTGGGAAAGTAAGGTGTGCAGGGACTGTCCAGCTCTCACGTCCTCTCCCACTCCCTCTACATTCACTCACTCCCTCTGCCCCACCCATTGTCACTGTCACCTGTGTCCCTTGCTTGGTCCTCAGGTTCCAGCAGGTAGCAGAGGTGGGGCTGGCTGTCCCTGTGGGATGCTGGGTATCAGCCCCATGGTGCACCTCTGCTCTGGCTCTCCTCTTGTGCCCCACTGATCTACAAAGGCCCAGGTGTGGGGACCTGGCCCTCAGGACCTGCCTGGAGGTAGAGCTTTCTCTGAGTGGGTCTGGCTGTTCTTTGGACTTGGTACAATCATGAGTTCAGCAGGAGCCACGTCCCGTGGCCCCTCGATGATGGAGGTGGCATTTGGTTGCTCTGGTGAAGGCCAGAAGGGGGTCTGTGAATCTCAGAGTTTGGAGGCAGGCATGGTGCTTTCTCTGCAGACCTCTGTGTGTGGCCATCAGAGCCCCTGCCCGTGTGCCTGACCCAACTGGTGCCTCTGGAGGGGGACATCCATGTGGCCCCAAGCTCCTAAGCCCTTTGCGGGGGGACACAGCCCCTCAGTCTTCTCAGCCCCAGGGGATGTCCCCTGCTGCCCTGCATGGACCAGAGCACTCCAACTCTCCCTGAACCCTGACACAGGCATGAGGGAGCCACATGTACCAGGTTCCTGGTTGCCCCTCCTCAGTGTCCCTAGGGCCATCCCACCCTGCCTGGGCCATGGCTCTGTCCTGAGCATGGTAGCAGGTGTCACATGGTGGGATGGACCCTATCACAGAGGTGGGCAACACTTTGCAGACCCTAGTGTCCCCCAGAGCAGCAGTGCAGGGTTGCTAAGGGAGGCAGCCGAACTGTGGCCAGTGGGGATGTGGCCAGCTCAGGCCCCAAGCTTCCAGCCTGGGCCCCTGGGCTGCAGTCCGCAGGTCCTGCTGCTGGACCCAGCAGCCAACTGACACTGCCTCCCAGGCATCTGGCTCCGGAGGGTCCTGGACCCTGCTGAGACCTGCCTGTCTCTGATGGGCCACTCCCTGACACTTGCTGCCACCTGCACCACGAGCCTCCCCTCCTGTGACCAGCCAGCCAGTGACTCTTTATTCTCTCCTCCCCAGCAACATGGCTGATGGCAGGGCCAAGCCTGCCAAAGCTACCAACAGGACACCCCCCAAATCCCCAGGGGACCCCGCAAAAGACAAGGCAGCCAAGAGGTTGTCACAGGAGTCAGATGCTGCCAGCGAGGGGGCAGCTGCAGCCCTGGAGCTCAGTGCCCTAGAGGAGGCCTTCCGGCGCTTCGCAGTGCATGGGGACACGCGTGCCACAGGGCGGGAGATGCATGGCAAGAACTGGTCGAAGCTGTGCCGGGACTGCCACGTGATCGATGGGAAGAACGTGACTGTCACTGACGTGGACATCGTGTTCAGCAAGATCAAGTAAGTGTGTGGAGAGGGAGCCCGGCGTGCACTCAGCTCCCGTCTCCCGCGTCGGGGCCAGGAGCAGGGTTCCCCAAGGTTCTGCACCCAGGCTGCACGCCGAGCCGAGTCTCGTGCGTGGCTCAGCCCTGCATGTGGTGCTGGGGGTCTGGCCTTAGTGTGACTGCTGCGCCTGCTCACAGGCCAGTGAGCAGTTACTGGACCTGCGTGGGAGCAGCTGTGCTGGGGAGTTTCCTCCCCTGTGTCAGAGTTCGCGTGGGACCCCAGTCCTGCACCCCTGCTGCCTCTCATCCTCTCCAGCCTCTTCTGCACCTCTCTCAGCTTTGGACTTGAAACAACACAACAAAGAGCAGCCACACACAAACACCTGTGGCTTCTGCAATGGTGGCATTGCACCCTGCTTGCTCTGTGTGTGTGCACACAGCTGTGATGGCTGGCATGGTCTTTATGGCTTCCTGTCACCATTTTTGCTGGTGGAAAGTCAGGTCTCCCAGGTGTGGAGGTAACTGAGGAGGTAGAGGTGGCTGGGTGAGGATGACTCAAGTTTGGGTAGTCATGCTGGACTGGCTGTGAACCTGCCCAGACCAGTCCTGAGTTGTGGCCCTCCCCATGGGCTGCATGGTGTCTGAACCAGAATCCCCGAGGACAGCTGAAGAATAGACTCCCCTGGGTGTCCCCTGACCTCTGTGAGGAGGCCGGGTGACAGATCCATCCTGGTGTGTGTGGGTCCTCGCTCTGTTCTGAGCCATCTCTGACTTTTGCTGCTATCTGTTACGGTTCAGTTGCTTGGGGCCAGAATGTGGCTCAGGGCTCAAGGTGCATGGCCCTTTACCACCACAGAGGCCACTGGGCTGAGCCCTTCCCTTCCAACCTCCTTTTGCCCTGGCTAGTGTCTTCTTGCCTCTGGGGCCTTGGGGCCTCTTCCAGTACCAGCTGTTGCTGGGCATGGGTTGGCTGGGGACCCCGTGCTCTCTGGGACATGGCCCTAGCTCTGTGGTGGTCAACCTGCGGCACGAGTGCCACATCTGGCTATTTCTTATCATTGAAAGCTCCGAAAGGTTTGCCATCACTGCCGTAGTTCTTCGCCTCCCCGCTTCATCAACAGCCGCTCTGAGCAGGCCCTGTGTCACCTCACAGGTCTCCCGGCCCCAGGAGGGCCTCAACACTGTTAATGGAGGTAGCCCCTCGTGGACAGACCTGGGGCCTCGGCCCTTTCAGTCTCGAGACTCCTCAGTGACTGACACATGACTTTGGGGACAGGCCTGCCTGTGAACCTGGGCCAAGGGAGGCCTCCCCAGGCTGTGTGTCCTCAGGCTTGTCATGGTGTGGGTCTGGGGGGCAGACCAACCCTGCTGTCCCTGCTGTCCCCTGCTGTGAAATGTGCAGCCTCCAGTAACTTCTGGCCTTACGTGTGGGTCTGAGTGGACATCCCAGGCAGGGATGGGCAGGTCCTCAGGCCTTTCTGGTGGTTAGCCAGCTGTGGGTGAGGGGCAGTTACGGCCTGGGCCTGAATGGTAGGGATCAGAGCCTGTGTGTGTTGGCTGGTGACTCCCCAGCAGCCAGCCATGGTGTGTAAGTGGCAAGGCCACATGCTCCATTTCCTGGCCGGTCTTCACTTGACTGGTGTCAGTCCCCAGGAGCAGATAGGCCCGAGGCTTGGCCCTTGGGAAAGTGCCTAGGTGGGAGCCTAGGGGAAGTGGCCTGTCCAGTGCCAGTACACCTAGGAATACCCAGTTCGGAAGATCTGCTTTTTGTTCTCCCGCTGCTGCACATGTGCACAGTAGGACTTTGTTTCTGCTCCCTCCTTGTAGGTCACAGCCAGTGTGGTCATGATTCTCTTGGAGGATGTGCGTCCTTCCTGCCCCAGGGGTGCTGGTCCCCCAAGAGTGAATCCCATTCCAAGGGCTTTGGCTGTTGGATGTAGGAGCTGAGGTATGGCTCACTTCCCGCTGTGGAGCCAGGCTCTGGGGGTGCAGGCGGAAGAGTGGTAGCTGCAACCCTAACCAGTGCCAGAGTGGGCTTAAGGTCATGATGCAGTCAGGGAAGCCAGGATGTTCCTTGCTGGACCTGTGGACCAGGTGTCCAGGTGGGCAGCCCCTGGGTCAGTGTCTGTGGGGTGATCAAGATGAGGATCCTAGGTGAGGGAGCCTGGCTGGGGTCCTTCAGGCCACCCTCGCCTCCTATGCCCTCGGCCTGGACTCCTCAATCTAGATTACTGGTCCCTATGAGCCCTCCCCCCAGGAGGCCCCAGCTCTGACAAGGGTCCCCTGACCTGGGTCCTTGTGACTCATTCCTCCCAAGGGGTCCCTTTTCTGCTTTTTTTGGGGGGGTATTGGGGATCGAACTCGGCCCCTTGTGCTTGCGAGGGAGGCAGCGGAACCACTGAGCTAAATACCCGGCCCAGGGGTCCCTTTTCTGGGGAGGGTTCCCTGATCTGGTCCCTGTGACCCTTGCCCCCTGGAAGTTTCTCTTCTGGGGAGGGTCCCCAGAATATGCAGGAGCGAGAGACCCCAAGTGTTATATCCTTGTCCTTCAGGAGCGCTGTAACCCCAGCAAGGTTTTGGACCTTGGGGTCCTGCAGGAAGGGCTGGAAGCTCAGAGCCACAGGCCACCCGAGATTTCCCTTTGATTTCTGAGGAATGGAGCTGTGATGGTCACTGGTCTTGCATTTTGAAGAGTGGGCCCTTCGAGGCCTGTAGGTTACCACAGAGGCCTCGCTTCCTTGGGGGTGTTGGGGACTGTGAGGAAGTCAACTAGATACTGCCAGGAAGTCACCACGTTGACAGCACTGGGGAGAAAAAGTCCAACTATTTCTGTTTTCGGGGCAGGTTGCCATGGCTCTGTGGGCGTGGCGCCAGCTGGGGTATCTGCAAGCCTTTGTTTAGGTCCTTGTCACCATGGCAGTGCTTGTTTGTTTTGATGTTACTATGTGTTAAATTTTAAACAAATTTCTTGCAGCTCTGTACCACATTTTATGGAAGACTACTGTTAACCTAGACTGCCCCTCCTGCGGGGACTGGAGGGACTGGTTCATGGGGACCTGGGTGGGGCCCATGGAGGCTGCAGGGCCATGGACCGCATGTCAAATGCGCCTGTGCACACCTGTGTGTCCATACAGACCTCTTTGTGTGCATGTGTGCATGTCTTGATGGGGCGGGGGACACATGGGGACCTGGGGTGAGCTTGTGTCACCCATGCCTCCTGCCTCTACGCAAGGCACAAGTGGGCAGCCCATGGAGTGCAGGGCCATGGACCGCATGTCAAATGCGCCTGTGCACACCTGTGTGTCCATACAGACCTCTTTGTGTGCATGTGTGCATGTCTTGATGGGGCGGGGGACACATGGGGACCTGGGGTGAGCTTGTGTCACCCATGCCTCCTGCCTCTACGCAAGGCACAAGTGGGCCCGCCTCACGGGGGAGGGGCAGCCTCCAGCCCAGGTGTGTTGCTGGGCCTCCAGCATGCTCTGCTGTGACTGCTCTGGTTTTCTGTTGACACCCTGAACCCTGTGGGGCCAAAGGATCACAGGTTAGAAAAGGAAGCCACACTGGCAGCCACTGCAAGAGAGCAGGCTCAGTGCCTGGGCAGCCAGCAGGACCCAAAGGGAACTTACAGCTGGGGAAGCTCAGTGTGGAAGTGGCCGACATGGCCTTCCATGCTGAGAGTGGAGCAGCGCAGAGGCCTGGAGGGCCCCAGCCAGCATGTGACTGGGGCAGCCTTGGGAGTGGAAGGTGCTGTGTGTGAGGCCAGCAGTCCACATGTCCCCCAAAGCCAGGTGACATGGACCACGGCCAGGCCCCTGGGAGCAGCATCCACCCAGCCTTGTCCCATTGTGACACCCAGGGCACTTTGTGCCCTCTGGTGAGGGGCTTCAGAGCCCAGGGAAACCCCCACACACAACTTGGCATGGTACGAGCTCCAGGAGGCTGTGAGCTTGCAGCCCTGTGTCCGTAGTGCCCCCTAGTGGTCATAGATGACAGTGCAGGACAGCCAAGGCTTCAGCCTGACTGGAGACTGGGGGTTCTGCCCTCCACTGGGTGCCAGACAAGCCACATGGAGCATCTCTGGCTGGGGGTGGGGGGTATCAGTGGGCTGGGGACCCTGTGGCCTTGTGGTCAAAGCCTCCCCAGTTCTTGTGTGCCTGCAGTGGCCAGGTGGGAACTGTCAGTTCTGGGGACAGGCCTCTCCACACATCTGTGTACAGACCCAAACACCAGGGACTGGTCCGCATGACCTGAGGTGTGAGTCTGTGGCTCATCTCCTGCCCAGGCTGGTGTAGGGGGTGGACAGAGGCAGCTGATCCCCGAGCCGCCTAGGGAGGTGTTGACCCTGACCCCGGCCCCTGTGAAAACGAAGGCACAAGGGAATGAGACATTAGGAGCCCTAAGGATGGGTCTGCTCCTCAGGCGCAAGGGAGCAATGCTGTGGCCCTAAGTGTCCCTCCATTTGGGCTGGTGATGCCTGGAAGCCAGACTTTTGGATCTCGGGTAGCCACCACATAGCCTGAGCAGTGCCTGGGGCTAGAGTGGGGTCATGGCTGGTCAGTGCACTGCTTCTTGGCCCCAGGGACACTCTGCCCATCAGCTATGTGGAGCATTTCTGGTTTCCTGAGATGGGACCCTCCAGACCCTGTATTTTCTGGGTGCTTGGGCTGGTCTGGTTATTGAGGGGGGGGTGATAAGGTGCCAGGGCCTTGGACACTGCCCCCCATCCCCCAGTGTCAGCCCTGTCCTGGAAGATTCCCCAAGCTACAGACAGGGCTCGATGGGCAGGAGGCAGAGGTGATGACTCCAGTGGGTTGCTGGACTGTTGGGCCTCCCAGAACACAAGTAAGAATTCCGGCCACAGGTCTGGGGTGATAGCCTGAGGCTTGGACGCGTACCCTAGGCCCTTCAGAAAGGCTTTCCACAAGGTGCATCCCCTCCATCCTCGGATTCGTGCTTGGTGCAGACTTGCTCTCTGCCCCACAGAAGCCCCAGCTTTCCCCTCTAGCCCCACTT